CCGACTTAGCTCTCTCTTTGAAAAACCCACCAAACCAAAACCCATTTGCCACCTTCTTTTTAGCCCACTTCCAATCGTGGCTATTGCCTCTTTTAGGGCCCATATGTCTTCTTTTCCTGATGTGTCTGTTCCTGCCCTGTTTGCTTCGCTTCCTACAGGGCCAATTACGGAAGATCTCTAACCAAACTTTCAACCAGCCCCTGCTTAGGTACTACCAGCCTCTGACCAATGAACCCCCAACATCTTCAAGAGAACAGCTCACTCATTGCTGAAGCTCACTACCAGGCGCGATGGAATGCAACGGACATCGGACAGTGGGAGACAACAAGCCCGGAGAACCTCTGAATCTGCCATCCTGGATTCTTGAGCCTTTATGTCCTTTTAAGCCTCCTCATGGCCCTTGGCCTCTTCTCTGTCAGTCCACCAACATGGAACTTCTGCCAAAAACTGACATTTGCTTTAATTTTTATCTTCATCCTGTTTTTGTTCGCTCTGATTTTCTTCAGGTGCTGGTGACGCCATGTCAAGGCAACGCTTCCAATATTTCCTAGAGTCTCTGCTACAGGATCAGTGGCTGATACCAACTATCTCCTCCATCCAGACTGGTTCGATGCCATTGACAACTTGTGGTTGGTTTCAGGGAACTTTTATAGACTTTACCCCTGCCGAAGTAGCTGTCTATAGCCACTGGGCTTTATTTCTGGTTGCCATGATATCCCCAGACCTGCCCCCTCCCAAACATTCCTCCACTTCCCCTTCTAGGCCCTACACCCCCTCCCCCCACCCCGCACAGCCGGAAGCAGCCAGATCTGACCAACGACGCCCCAATTCCTAAGAAAACAAAAAGGGAGGAATGTTGGGAAAACATATAACAGCAGCAGCACCCCAGAGAAAAACCCCAACATGCTGTCTAACGACCCTCTTTCTCCTCTTTGTTTCTTTCACTGGCGCGAAACGTTCCTGCTGGTGCCAATGTTCAAATCCTGCTGGTGGGAAGCCTTAGCCCCAATAAGAATTAACTTCTTGGGCTCCGGAACTGACATATGGAAGAGCTTGCCAGTAAACGGGCGACCTGTTATCTACCTCTGCCCTGCTACCTCTCCTTAGACCTATATAAACACACAGCCTTTGGTAATAAAGTGGAACCTCTTTGGTGATCTGTGTCGTGTGGTGCGGCGTCTTCCAGTCTTACACAAGTAACTCTTATTTTACTTAATAATAGTTCCAGGGTCTCCTGGCTCAGGGGTAGAGCACTTGCCTAGAATGTGTGAGGCACTGGGCTTGATTCTCAGCACCACATATAAATAAACATTAAAAATAAAGGTCCATTGACAATTATTCAAAGAGGGCAAGACCTATACACTGAAAACTATACAACATTGTTGAAAGAAATTATAGAAGATCTAAATAAGTGAAAGAAATCCTTTCATGGACCACAAGATTTAATAATGTTAACATGGCAGTATTCTCCAAATTGATCTACATATTCAATATAATTCCTATCATAATCCCACCTGCCTTTTGGGAGAAATTGACAAACTGCCCCCAAAATTTGGTTAGAAAGGCTGGGGTCCCAGAATAGCTATACTAATCTTGAAAAAGAAAAAGTTGGAGAACTCACAACTCCTGTACTGGCATAAGGATACACATATTATCAACGGAACTGAGAATCCATAAACATTTTTTGTTCAATGGATTTCTATTAAGGGTGCCAACACAATTAATGTACAAGAAATAGTCTTTCCAACAAATGATGCCAACACAACTAAGTATCCATATGCAAAATATGAAGTTGAACCCCCCCCATACCACATATCAAAATTAATTCCAAAGTGATCATAGACTTAAGTGTAAGAGCTAGGCTGGAAAATTCTTAGAAGAAATTACTGGAGAAAATCTTTATGATCTAATGTTAGGCAATGACTCCTTAGATATGATATTAGAAGCACAAACAACAAAAGAAAAAAGATAAACTAGACTGTTATGGTTTGGATATGAGGTGTCCCCTGAAAACTCCTGTGTTAAGGCAGGAATTTCAGAGGTAAAATGGTAAAATTGTGAGAGACAAAATCTAATCTAGTCTACCTTACTTTGACTAAACTAACTGGGTGGTAACTCTTGGCAGGTGGGGCATGGCTGGAGGAGGTTGGTCACTGGGCGTTGGGTGCATGACTTAGAAAGATCATCTTCTGCTTTCTCTGCTTTCTGGCTGTCTGGAGCTGAAGAGCTTTCCTCCACTGTGCCCTTTGGTCATGAATATTCCTCCTTATCTTTGGCCCAGAGCCATGGAGTCAGCCAATCATAAACTGAACCTCGAAACTATGAGCCAAAATAAACTTTTCCTCTTCTAAGTTGTTCTTGTCAGGTATTTTGGTCAATGTATGAAAAAGCTGACTAACACACTGGACTTTAATCAAAATTAAAAACTTTAGTGCTTCAAAGGACACCATCATGAAAGTAAAAAAGAAAAACCTACAGAATGGCATAAAACATTCCAAATCACCTGGGTAATACAGCAGTTCTCCCTTATCCACAGTTTCATTTTCTGTTGTTTTAATTATCTGCAGTCAACCACAGTCCAAAAATATAAAGTGAAAAATTCCAAAAATAAATAATTTAAAAGTTTAAAACTGCATATCACTCTGCATAGCAGGATCCAATCTTGCACAACTGTGTTCCACCTTGTCTAGGATATGAATCATTCCTCTCTCCAGTGTATCTATATTGTATACACTATTCACCCATTAGTCACAATGTAGCCATCTCAGATACCAGATTGACTGTCATGGTATCATAGTGCTTATGTTCAAGTAACTCTTATTTTAACTTAATAATAGCTCCAGGGACTCATTGCTCAGTGATACAGCACTTGCATAGTATGTATAAGGCACTGTGTTTGATTCTCAGCATCACATATAAATAAATTTTTTAAAAAAGGTCCATTGACAACTAAAAAATAAGTAATAGCTCCAAAGCACAAAGCAGTGATATGTCAAGTGTCATCTCACATCATCACAAGGATGAATACAGCACAATAACACATTTGAGAGAGAGACTAATCACATTCACAAAACTTTTATTATGACTTATTGTTATAATTATTCTTTTTATTTGTTATTATTATTACTTTCTTACTTTGCCTATTTTTACATTAACTTTTGCATATGAAACATCAAGGTATACTTAAGATTCAGTGCTATGCAAGGTGTCAGGATTTACAGGGAGTCTTGGAAAGCATACTTTATGGATTAGAGGGGAATACTGTATCTAGAACATATATAAGAACATATACTGCTCAACAACAAAATAAAAAGTAGCATAATTTTAGAATGATCAAAAGATCTGAATATACATTTTTCCAAAGAAGCTATAGAATGACTGAAAGCACATGAAAAGATGTCAAACCAGATCCAGCAATCCCACTACTGGGTATATACCCAAAGGAAATGAAATTGAAATGTTAGAGAAATACCTGTACTCCTACATTTATCATATCATTATTCACAATCTCCAAGACATGGCATCAACCTAAGTGTCCATCAATGGATGCATATATAAAGAAAATGCAGCATATTTACACCCTAAAAAGGAAGGAAGTCTTGACATTTGTTGACAACACAAATGACCCTTGAAGACATTATGTCTTCACATCATCAAGTGAAATAAACCAAGCACAGAAAGACTTATGCTGCGTTATCTTAAAAGTAGAGAGTAGAATGGTGGTTACCAGTTGCTGGGGGTGGGTGGGATTAGAAAAATGTTGGTCAAAAGATACAAAATTTCCCTAAGACAAAAGGAATAAGTTCAGAAGATCCATTGTATAAAGTGGTGACTATAGTTACTAACAATATACTATATTCTTGAAGACTGCCAAGAGAGTTTAAGATTTTTAAAATGATAAGTATATGAAGGCATACATGTTAGCTAAATATAGTCATTCCACAATGGCTATGTTATCATGTACTTATCCAAGTTATCATGTACATATACATACTCATGTACATGATGCACACAATATGTATAATTTTGCCACTTAAAAATAAATTAATTTAAAAAAATGATTATCAACCTCATTAATCATTAGGAAAATACAAATCAAATCCACAATGAATACAACTTCATATCTACTAGAATGGCTAAAACACAAAGACAATAACAGGTATTGATGAGGTTATAGAGAAATTGGAATCCTCATTAATTACTTGGGGAAATTCAATGTAATACAGCATTTTAGAAAAGAGTTGGGCAATTCCACAAAATGCTAAAGATGGAGTTTCCCATATGACTCAATAATTCTACTCCTAGGTATATAACAGGGAGAAATAAAAACATAGTCCCATAAAACAGGTACAGAAAAGTCCACAATAATATTCACAACAGAAAAAAAATGTGGAAACAACTGAAATGTCTATCAACTGATAAAGCAGATTAAAAAAAAAAAAAACCCAAATGTGGCACATCCATACAATGAAATATTTGGTCACAAAAGGGAATAAAGTGCTGATTCATGCTATGACCTTTGAAAACACTAAGTTAAATCAGTCATAAAAGACTACATGAAAAGATGCCCTGACATGATTCTACTTATATAAAATGAACAAAATAGGCAAATTCAGAGACAGAACGTACATTAGTAGTTGCTAAGGGATCAGAGAAGGTGGAAATGGGAGTGACTGCTAATTGGTATGGGGTTTCTTTTTGGGGTGAAGAAAATATTCCAAAATTAGATAGCGTTGTGATGGTTACACAATTTTGTGAATAGACTAAAAGCTGAACTGTACACTTTAAAATTGTAAATTACATATTAATGAAGCTATTATTTTAAAAGTTACATGGAATTAGTCATATCATCATTTTTTGTTATTCTCTAATACTAGATTGCACAAATTATATAGATACAGGAAAAGTTTAAAAWTTTTTTTTAAAAATTCAACATTAAAACATCAGCAAGAAAAGGCTAATAATTACACATAAGTCAAGGCCATAGTAAAATATCATACCTTGCCACACTGCTTGTAGGAAATTCCCTTCTTGTTACAGTACTCATAGATGAGGTCTGCACCTTGTACACACAATTTAGCTTTYAGAGATTCAGGTTGATAATAAATTCCACTATGTATGACACCACTGTTATGTCCAGTCTGGTGAGTAGCTACAGAACAAGAGAAACAGCGTAAAGAGAAAGTCCATGACTCACACAAAACCTAAAAGGTGAGGAAACAATTACAGTTGATGCTACTAGATACCAAATCATTTAAAATTCTACTTCAATTTTTTCAGTTTACTGGTAATTTCCTCTAGCAGCTGTCCCTGGTATCCATGTCACATTGCTCCTGCCTATCTCTGATTTCAACTATAACTCACTTCTCTAGAACCAGCAAACCACTTACCAGGAGGACTCTCTGCACTCTGTCCCAGGACTTTTTCTATCTTTTAGGGGAAGGGTAGAGGCTGTTCCACATCACTAGGGACAATCCACAACCAAAAGAGACAACAATTGATAGATAAACAAGCACAATCCTAGAAAACATTACACAGCTCTTTAGAGGTCCCAGTGGAATCAAGCTCACAGAAGCAACTTCAATAAGGCACCCTCCTTCCTTGTCTTACTCTCTCCATCCCCTCACTCCTTCCTGCCTCCTCAGATAACCTCTCAAATAAATTACCCACACACAAGTTCTTGTTCCAGGTTCCACTTTTAGGAGAACCCAAAATAGGCTATTAACATTGACATTTGGCATGATTGATTGGAACTGACAGAACAAACAGGTGCAAAAGCAAGCCAGAAGATCAACACTGATAACATACATACCTAAATCTTTCTCCTTTTCCAGAACACCAATTGAAAGTGCAGGATGTCGCAGGATAAGTGCTCTGGCAGAGGCAAGGCCCACAATTCCACCACCAACAATGACTATATCAAATGAGCTTTAAGAAAAAAAATGGTATTTAAAGAAATTTGTTTATAGTAGATATCACCAAACTTCACATGCACAATTTTCATCATTAGCAGACAATTAAACTATTAATTTATAATAATTGAAATAATATGAATTTAGGTTTTATGCTATTTGGTTTCACTCTCATGTAAAATCACAGACAATGCTTGTCAGTAGATTAATTAACTACAGTCTATTTACTGGCAGGGAGGATGGTTGGTCACCTAAGCTGCACTGTCTCTACAGTACCCCACAAGACCAGTTACATCAGTGATGACTTTTGTGTTAAGCATCATACTTTCTTTACCACCTATCCTTTCAAAATTCAAACACAGTATTCTTGAGGACAGCCTAACACATTAAGCCTTTAACATCTTTCTGTACCGGGATTTATACATTTTCTTTCTGTTGAAAAGAAAACAGTGGTAGGAATTTTGTGAAATAGTGGGTCCAGAATATGCTAGAACCACTGAAGTAAGACAATGCAAATTAAAACTACAATGAGATATCACTACATCTCTTTCAGAATGACTAAAATGAAAAAGTGAAAACACCACATGCTGGTGAGGATGAGGAAAAACTGGATCACTTACAGATTAATTACTGCCACTCCCAAAGAGTAAGGCAATTTCTTTAAAAAACTAAATATGCACTTACTACATGACTCAGCAACTGCATCCTTGAGCATTTATCCCAAAGAAATGAAAGCTTATGTTCATAGCAGTTTTATTCATAATAGGCAAAAACTGCAAACAGTCCAGAGGTCCTTCAACTGGTGAATGGTTAAACAAACTGTAATGCATCCGTGCCACGGAATGCTATTCAAAAATGAGAAGAAAAAAAACCCACTATCAATATTGGCAACATCTTGGATTGATAGATCTCAAGGACATTATGCTGCGTGAGGAAAAATTAATATCAAAAGGTTACACACTGTTTTTTATTTATATATCATGATCAAAATGACAAAATTATAGTAATGGAGTATGGGTTAGTGGTTGCAAAGGGATAGGAAGAGTGAAGTTGTACGGTGTGAATATGAAGGGGATATGGAACAAGGGATATGGAACAATTCTATATCTTAATTGAGGGACTTGTTACACAAATAAACACATATGATTAAATTGCATAGAAAGTGCATAAATTGTATACACATACACAAACACAAAAATGAGTGAATGTAAAACACTAATGAAACCTGTACAAGGTCTGTGGATTGTGCCAGTATCAAATCAATTTTCTACTTTTGATATTGTTCTACAGTTCTGTAAAAATGTTATCATTGCCGTAAAAGTGTGAAGGCTCTGTACTATTTTTGCATCTTCCTATGGATCTATAATTATTTCAAAATAAAAAATATTTTTAAAAATTTCACTAAACAACGTACTTTTCTTCCCTTAAGAAAGGCTTCCCAAAAGAATGGTCTACTTATGGCACAACCAATCATTGACACTGTTAACTCCTGTCCCTTTCCAATTCACTACCACATAGTAACCAAAGTCAACAATTGAAACAACAATTAATCTCTCCCCTATTTTAAACCTTTTTAATAGTTTCCCATGGCTCTTAAATAAAAATCAGTGTGTAGTTAAAATTAAATCCCTGTTGTAACATAGCAGGTGTCATTCCATGCTTCCTGTCTTCCACCACGCTCCAGTCACACTCAATATTGCCCACCTTCTAATCCTCAAAATAACCAAAAGCTTTCCACCCTTAAAGCCTTCACACAAACTGTTCCTTCTAGGAGAGGACAGAAAGTCAGTGGTTTCAAATGTGATCTCYAAACATCTAATTACAGGACACTGAATTTTACTGGCTTTTAATAGGCAACGGGGATGCTTCGCACAAGGACAAATGGCCGATTTAAGCCCGATCCAAGCAACACCAGGGATACCAGCTAATAAACAGTATATTTGATTGCTTACAGTGTGCTACATCTTTTTATCCTCAAAACGATCGCGAACAGGAGAGACGAAGATCCTATTCACAATTCAGACTGTTAATYAACCCCCCTATAGTTGAACATAACATGGAAGGGTGTATGGAAAGCCAGACCTGTTCCTGACCTCCACTCAACAATGTCTCTCCTCCGGCCCATAAACACAGCGAATAAACTCGCAGCTCCATAGCTCCTAAGATCCAGCTCTACAGGATCCCACCCTTCTCCTAGGCCCCGCCTGACAAGGAAGTACCAGTAGGTGTATAAATTCAGCTGGAGGCACCACTGAAAGCTGCAACCGCGCAGGCGGCGGGGGGCGGGTCATTTGCCACTCACCTGCTGCTAGCACTGCGGACACCCCCGCAAAGCGGCCAGGGCCTTCCGGACGCCGGCCCGCACACCCCGGAGAAGCTCCCGGGGAAGCCCCCACGGGCCCGTCCGCAGGCACCCCCCAGGTAACGCAGCACCGGTACCATCGCCTACACCCACTCCCCTTGCTCGGCCCCTAGAGGTGGCAGCTTTAGCCCAATAGTGCCACGGTCCCGCTACTCTCTAACCCCGCCCCTCAAGCGGGGACCAATGAGACGTGCGTTTTCACCACACGTGGGAGCGGCGGGCGGCTGCCAATGGGCGCGCGCGGCGGAGGGCGAAGGGCAGGCCGGCGCGCCGTAGAAGCGTGGATGCCGGCTCGCTCCCTCCCTCACTGCGACGCTGTGAGTAAAGGACCTAGGCCCCGCGCGGGGCGGGACTAGGATAGTGGTTATGCTCGCCCCTTTCCCTTCTCCCAAACCTGGCTAACTGAAAAGCGAGCCGGGCAAATCTCGCGTCTTCGACTTTGACCGCCAAGCGGATCGGGCCTCGGGGAGAAAGCCTGGGAGTGTTTACGGTGAACACTCATCCGGGCGGCCCGGGCCCTTCCCTTTCGCTCGGTCCSGCCCCTGGGCTGCTGGAGGGTTTTGCTGGGCGGACGCTCCCTGCCCGACCCTAGCCCTGGGGGCTCTTTGTCACGGCCACGCCCAGTAGCCTGCAATCTCCAGGACTTCTTGCCTGACTCTTGGCGGTGCCATTCATTCAGTTATTGATTTGTCTTGTTAATATCGAGCGCCTACTATACTGGACCGAGCACTGAGTACTGGATGGCCAGACAGTTTAATCTCGCCATCATTTACCGACCTGTGTCCTTTTCTCAGTTTTAAAAATGCTCTCTGGAACTCGGAACAGCAAATCACCTGTGCATGTCACTTCATCGCAGTTTCCTTATCTGTAAAATTAAGGCGATGGGCTATATAATCTCTAAAGGACCTTCTAACTGTAAAATTATGTGATTTTTTTTCTACCATCCCAGTATAATACTTAATTATCTCTGCTTTGTGACAGTTTTTAAATTTTTAGGATCAGGAGAACTGATAAAATAGAACAGTATAACTTTATTGCTGGGAAGACTTAAGGCTGTTTTCCAGTCATTAGGTACCTCTGGGAAGTCACTTCACCTCTTTGCCTCAGACCCTTCTCTGTGAACATGGGTCTTTTAGCAGACTCTTTGAGAGAAGGCTCATCAGATCTTGAGCACAGTGAAGCACAAAATTGAAAAGAGAAGATGGCTATTTTAAAAATTCAACATATCTTGAGATATTGGTAGTGTCTCATGCAGTTCAGGAAATAATGGAGATCCTGCATACCTTTGGCCATCTTCCCCAATGATAAACCTTGTAAAACTATAGTACACTAACACAACCAGGTAAACTTATTCAGATTTCCCTAGTTTTACATTTGTGTGTGTGTGTTTCTATAAATTATCATCATGTGTGTAGATTCATGTATCTACCAACAGGTCAAGATACAGCACAGTTCCATCACTACAAGGAACCCTCCAGATGCCTTTGTATAAACTACACCTTTCCCTCATAGCCCTCCCTCAAATTTTTTCTTTTTCCCTTCTAACATTTTGTTATTTAAAGAATAATATGTAAGTGTAATTTTACAGCATGTTAACTTTAGGGGATTGACCTTTTGCATTTAGTGTAATCCCTTGACATTCATCCACATCATTGGGTATATCAAAAGTTCATTGCCTTTCACTACCGAGTACCAGTTCATAATATGAATGTACTACAATATGATTAACCTTTCACTCATTGAAGGACATCTGAATTGTTTCCAGATTTAGAGTGTCATAAATAAAGCTGTTATGAATTTTATTGTACAGCTTTTTTGTGTGAACCTGTTTTTATATCTCTAGGATAAGTGTTCAAGAGTCTGATTGTTGGGTCGCATTGCAATCACGTTTAATTTTGTAAGAAACTGCCAAACTGTTTTCCAAAGTGGCTGTACCATTTTATATTCCTACCAGCTATGTTTGATCCAATTCTCTTCATTGTCACCAGCATTATGTGTTCTCACTATTTTTTAACTTTTAGCCATTCTGATAGATGTGTATGGAGGTGGTTATTTTTTTATTTTGCACAGGGTATAGTTGATTACAGAATTATGTACTTGCAGGGGCCAATTCCCCCCCCCCATAGGCCATTTGGGCCCATAGTAGTGTTTTGTTTTTTTTTTCAATTGTGAATTCGAATTTGTGCTTCTTAGTTTAGCAAGGGTGAAAGTACTAGAACACACATGCCCTTTCATAAAATTTTCTCTGCTTGCTCTCCCTCACAATTTGAATAGTAGTTTATTTTGGTTAAGTAATTTGAGCTTGTCTTGCATTCATATACCCTGTAACATTTGTGGGTAGAAACTTTTGTATTCCTGACACTACCTTTCTTGAGAGTTCATGTTCAACTTGTCTATGTAACAAGTTAGTCAATAAGTGTCATTTGATAGCCTCAGAACAGTGTTGGGGATCTTTGCTTCCAACTCCTAATGAATTGCTCTGTTCATCTGTTTCATTTGATTCTAGATACCCCAATAATAAGAACTAGAATCAACAATGGGTGATGTACAGCGCTACAAGGTTGTAACTAAGAGAAAAAAGTCCCTCATCCTGTTGCCCACTCCCGTTTACCACTCTCTAGAATTAGTTGTGTATTACTGGGAATTGAACCTAGAACTCTTTTTTTAGCCGGGGGGGGGGGGGGGTGGCGGTACTGGGGATTGAACTCAGGGGCACTGAGCCACATCCCCAGCCCTATTTTGTATTTTATTTGGTGACAGGGTCTCACTGAGTTACTTAGGGCCTCATTAAATTGCAATGGCTGTCTTTGAACTCATGATACTCATGATTCTCCTGTCTCAGCCTTTCCAGCTGCTGGGATTACAGGCATGCGCCTGGCTGAACCTACAACTCTCTACCACTGTGCAACATCCCCAGCCCTTTTTAATTAGCCCAGTCAGTAATTGCATTTAATATATTAAATCATAACTTTCAGTTTAAAAAGATCTTACTGCCTTCATGAAAACAAGGAAACTCTCAATCAAACCTACTCATGAAACACTTTGTATATATCCTTTTTATTTTTGTTTTTTGTGGTGCTGGGGATTGAACCCAGGGCCTTTTGCATGTGAGGCAAGCACTCTACCAACTGAGTTATATCCCCAGCCCATTTTGCATATATCCTATTGTGAATAATACATTAGAGGTGTGACTGTCTCTAAATCACAAACATAATTGCAGCTTTTAGAAACACTGCTACAAACTTATGGCTCTAAACCATGTTCTGATAGCAATAAATTTGTTTTGTTTTGCATAATTTGAATTCCTGGGTTATTTATGGCACCAGTAATTCAGTACTTACTAACTTGGTTGTAATTGTTTTCTTTCCATTTCTTTTCATTTTCCACATACACTAACTTACCACTAGAGGTCCTCTTTCCCTATAGAAAGCATTCTCAGGGTAGCTGCTGCTTGACGCTGTAATTCCCCAAGTCTCAAGTAGCAAAGTTGCAATTAAGAATGTAAACAAACAACAAAAAACTCTACTGTTTGTTTTAACCTTTATTGCCAAGTCTAATTTCAATTTTCATGTTTAAATTATTTAAAATATAAAACTAGTGTTTTTAGAGGTCATAGCTGATGTAAATTAGGCCTTCCCTTTAAACTGAATTAATGGGCCAAAATGAATCAAGTGAAAGTATTCAATTTTCAAAGACCACATCACCTACTTAATAACAGTTTCTTTGGTTTGACTTTTATCCATGGAAATTTGTCAACCGTTAAAGACTTTCTTAACAAATATTTATTAAACTTTTGCATTAAGCTGAGGAAAATAGAAATGAATGAGACCTTTAGTCTTCCTCCTCCTCTGCATGCTTCTTTTTTTCTTCCTAACTAAAATTCTTAGTCATTAAAATCCATCTCAAAAGACACCTCTGATGTGAAGCTTCCCCTCACTCCCTTTTCTATGTTCATGTGGCACTTGTTCACACCTCTCTTAAGATTCTATGTTGGATATTATTTGTTTACATGCCATTCATCTTCTTTGTTATACTGTACATTTTATGAGGACAGGAACCAGGACTTTCTCTCTTCTCTATAGCTTTTGTTATTGTTTTGTCTTACCATTATTATTTTTTTGCAGTAAGTATAGCAGACATTCAATAAACATTTATTAATGAATGAATGAGTGGACAGATGTGGCATTTGAGTAACTTCTTGAGATTGGGTAAGATTTCAACAGGATTGGATGGAAGGTAAATAAAGGGAATAACCTGTGTAGAAGTTGGGAAAGCCCAGATTGAAAATGAGGTTGGCAACCAATGTAGTTGTTAAAAAGGTAGGTGTAGGTGGAGAGTGCTTTAACAAAAAGCTGAAGAGCGTTTAGAACATTGGTATCAGGGGCAGAGGTTTGTAGTAATGAAGACAGAGTGATGGTAGAAACAAAATGAAGTGGGAGCTAAGGATGTAGCTCAGAGGTAGAGCACTTGTCTAGCATTCATAGACCCTGGGTTCAATGGATAGCAACATGACGTGAGGAAAGAGAGAGAAGAAATAAAGAAGGCAGTAGTTGATTCCAGGGTTCTGTCCTCAGTCTTCATCTCTCATTGTTCCATTACCTCAACATCCACAGTTACTTCCACAATTTCTTCCTCTTTAGTTCTAGATCATCTGATGATTAATGAAAGGTCCCTGTATTGGTTGGCTTTAGAGAAACTGGGTTTAGGTTTCAGCACTGACACCAATTAGCCATGAAACATTGAGCAAGTCCCTTTAAACACATGCATTTATTAATGCCCCACCTTGTTCCAGAAAGGATTTAGTGTGTCAGCAAGTTACTTAATATCAGGGCTTCAGTTTCCTCATCTCTAAATGAGAGGTTGGTCTAGGCAATCTAAGTTCCTTCCAGCTCTAACACTTTGTGACACTGATTCCAGTAATTTGATGGTCATCTTCACTTAGGAGTCTTGCCAACATTTCATACTTAGAATATGAAAAAAAATAAAAAGAAACAAAACAAAACTGAGCTCATGAGAGGCTAAGGCAGGAGGATGGCAAGTTTGAGACCAGCCTCAGCAACTTAGCACGAAACTGTCTCAAAGTTAAAAAAAAAAAAAAAAGTTTTTAAAGGCTGGCCAGGGATGTAACTCAATGGTAAAGTGC